GTAGTAGTAGTAGGAGCAGAAGTAGTAGAAGTAGTAGTAGAAGTAGTAGTAGTAGTAGTAGTAGTAGTAGTAGGAGTAGGAGTAGCAGCAGCAGCAGCAGCAGCAGCACCAGCAGCAGAAGCAGAAGCAACAGCCGCAGCGGCAACAGTAGTGGAATGCTGTTGCCGCAATTCAGCTCTGAGTCCACCTGGGCGGTGTTGATAATCTCCACCAGGGGGGGGTAATCAGGGGTCAACCAAAAACAGACTTCCTCAGAATACCCTGAAGTAATGCGATCAAAACAAAACGAATATTTAGAATAGCACATAATAGCACCTACTTCTACATGAAGAATGTACACAGGCCACCCACGCCTTGGTAGTTTCGTTTGGCCTCGGCGATTTTGCCGTGCTGCTCCTGCTGCCAGGGCGAACGTGCGTGATTGAGGGTTTGTTTCTGGGCTTGAGCTTTATATTATATGGGGTGCAGGGTTAGCGTCTATATAGGTTTAGGGCCTGTATTTGGGGTGCAGAGTTCATATCATCGCATTCAAGGTTTCGTTTTGGGGGGTCTAGGGCTTCTTTTTGGGGATTCAAGCTGTGTTTTGGACTTTGGGTTTAGACCGAATTTATAGGGTTTGACTTCGGCTTCCGAAACCCTCAGCCCCGGGTACGTTAGACCCAAAGCTGAACCCGAAAGCCCTGAACCCTACACAGTTTTGGGATTTGGGGTTTAGGGTTTGGGGAGGGTCTAGGGATAGGTTCCCCAGTAACCCCATCATAATAAGGGTACCCTTTTTCCTATTGGTTTGGTTTTAATAAGGGAACCCAAAAAGAAAAACTGCAAAACGGGTACCACTGGCGAACTTAGCAAACGTTTCCCTTGGGAGAAACTGCATCCCTTTCTTGGGCGAGCGGGCTTCGCCCCAAACCCTAAACCCTAAACCCTAAACCCTAAACCCTAAAACCCTAAACCCTAAACCCTAAACCCTTGGGAGAAGCTGTATCCCTTTTTTGGGCAAGCGGGCTTCGTTCGTAGGGTCTAGAGCCTCGAGAGTTCTACCTTCATCCCCATGGTTCCCTGGCTAAACCCTAACCTAGGGTTTAGGGTTTAGGGTTTAGGGTTTAGGGTTTAGGGTTTAGGGTTTAGGGTTTAGGGTTTACCCTAAACCCTAAACCCATGTTTACGGTGAGTGGCCCTGGCTTGTGGATGGGTTGCAAATACCTGTTCGACCGATCGGGTTTGCAGCAGGGAGCGGGTCTCTGGAGCATTTCTGGGGTGATGTTCATAATTTGGGGGCCTTAGAGTAACGAGTCCGTAATTTTTCTGATACTTCCATAATGGCCGTGCACCAACAACAACCGCACAGCTTGTAGCACGAAGCACAGCTTCGAGCATGCTCCTGGGAGCCTGAAAGGAGGCAAGGATGTCATCGGCAAGCCTAGTGATCTCCTTGTCATCGGGGGTGAGGAGAACTGGCACAATCCCCTCGTCTCGAGCCCCTGCCGGGCACTGCACTCGCCACTCATCATTCTCATTGTTTTGCCGGGCGATCTGCCAGTAATCCGTCCAGGCGTCTGGGGCAGGATCCTGCCCCCAGCGACGTTTTCGATCATCCCCCCAGCCAGCACCAGGGTGCTGGATCTGTGCCTTAGCCGCAGGCTTTGGCCAGCCCTGCTTCTGCTTCCACCCTTGCCAAGAACCGGCACTCCAATCACCTCTCGAATCAGCGGCATCTTTTTCTCCTGACTTCCAGCCACGGGACCCGCCCGAACCATGCTGTCCCCAAGTGGCTGAGGTCCAAGCCGACCAGGAATCGCCCCCACCCCAGTCGGTGGTCTTCTCCTTTCGAGAGCCCTCACCAACCTATCAGATTCCCTAAACCTCACTGGGTTGTAGTGTGGGGGCCCTGAAACGTATTCATGAATAGGTACCTCTATAGAAACCATAGGGGGTAATCTAAAGTGTCACAAATTGCCACCTAGCTACCTTAAGAACCCAAAACCCACTTTTTGTAGGTTCTTATCATAAACCCGAATATGGGATTTATAGGGATCCTACAAAAAAAGCGGGGTTTGGGTTCTGAAGGTAAACCCTAAACCTTAAACAGTGAACCCTAAAACATCCCATCCTGGCCGAACCCCTAAAGCCGTCAACAGGGGTTTAGGGTTTAGGGTTTAGGGTTTAGGGTAAACCATGCTATGGCTTACGTTAGGCCTGTGTTTGCAGAGGTGTTCTACTTGCTCCATCCTTGGAAGTGTCTACTGCAGGAGTCGGAATATTTCGTTATTCGTACAACCTCCGTTTATATCTCCGGATAACCTGATGTAGTTCTAGGAGAATATACCCCAAAACATCCTAAAATCATTTTGATCCCGATATTACAAAGGAGGAGGAGAGATGCTGTCTCCAGGCCTTCAGCTCTCCCAGCGTGAATTTTTGCAGGCCTAGGCAAACGGAGGGTTCAGGGTTTAATGCCTGGGTAGTTCTGTAAAGTAGAGTCCCTGTGTAGGCCCCCAAAACAGTACGGAACCCTTCTAGAAAAGGACCCTAAAAGGGACCACCCTAAACCCTAAACCCTAAACCCTAAAACCCTAAAACCCTAAAAACCCTAAAAACCCTAAAAACCCTAAACCCCAAATGGCTTTTTTAAGGCCGGGCGTATCCGGGCTCTTTAGAGCTCAAGGCTACTTGCTGAGTGCTTCCCGAGTATAAGGGCTTTTAGGGTTTAGGGGTTTAGGGTTCAGGGTGTAGGCTTTAGGGCTTTAGAGGTCTAGGGTTTGGGGGTTTAGGGTTTGGGGGTTTAGGGCTTCTAGAGGTTTTAGGGGTTTTAGGGGTTTAGGGGTTTAGGGGTTTTTAGGGGTTTAGGGGTTTAGGGGTTTAGGGGTCTAGGGGCTTTAGGGGTTTAGGGTTGAAATCGGCGCAAAGTGAAAGGCAGCGCGTGCAGAGACATGTTTGCTCAGATCCTCAACCATTCCGAACTCTAAATCCTGAGTTCAAGGGTTTAAGGGTTTAAGGGTTTAGGGTTTAGGGTTTCGGGTTTCGGGTTTCGGGTTTAGGGTTTAAGGCTGAGGCTTTGAACCTCAAACCCAACAACCCAAACATAAGCCCTAACCTGAAGCCCTAAACAGAATGACCCAAAGGGTCCTCGGTACTGCTTTGGGGGATATAGCAACCTTCCATTCTACTATGAAGGCACTTTGGACCCTTTTGGGTGACTAAGCCTCAACCCTCAACCTTGCCTAAAGAAGGTTCGACTTTGCTCCCCCCGGCCACTACCCTTACGATGGATTGAACTCGGGGTTCGTTTTGTTCAAAACTCCCTAAGCATTTAGGGTTTAGGGTTTACGGTTTAGGGCTTAGGGTTTAGGGTTTAGGGCTTAGGGTTTAGATGGGTCTAGGGTTCCTGTGCTTCTGCGAAGGTCAAGCTTGGATTTGCGCGTTGTTCTCTTTGCTCCAGGTCTGCAACACACTCCGCCTGTCTGTCCAGCATCTTGAGCAAGCGCAGAGCGGTTTCCGGGCCCTGCCGTGAGACTTCTGGCAGCATAGCACTTCTAGGTTTCAATTGAGGCACCGCAGCCTCCGCATCCTCTGGCGGAGAAGGCGAACGAACCAGAATAAGATTGAAGTCGGCAGCAACTCCGCAGCCCAGCGCCCGCCTCCGGGACTCGCTTCTGTCTTTTGCGCCTCCACGCTCCTTCTTCCTCAGGAGCAAGGCAAAGACATCGTGATTCCTTGGAACTTGCTCTTGCGATTTCAGCCCTGATACTGGGTTCTGAAACGTCAGGGGCCGAATGCATATTGTTGAGGTTTTGGGGCACCCTAAGCCTGAGCCGCTGCCTTAATCCTTAAATCAAAACGGTTGGGCTGACGGCGTAGAAGGCAGCCGGGCTTCCGTGAGACTTCGGCGGAAGCCAGAAAGCCTCTGCCCCCCTGGACCAAAACTCATGCATCTGGAAACCCAAACCCAGAGACCCCCAATCCCAAACCCCAACACCAACAAAGCCTAAACCCTAGGCACTACAACCAGAAATCCTGAACGCTGAACCAACATAAATCCCAGACCCCGGAACCCTAAAAACTAAAACACTGAATCGCTAGACCCTAAAACCCTGAGACCCTAAACCCTAAAACCCTGAGACCCTACACCCTAAAACCCTGAGACCCTAAACCCTGAAACCCCGAGACCCTAAACCCTAAAACCCTGAGACCCTACGCCCTAAACTCTAAAACCCTGAGACCCTAAACGCCAAAAAACCCTGAGACCCTAAAACCCTAAACCCGAAAACCCTAAACCCTAAAACCCAAAACCATAAAACCCTAAGCCATAAAACCCTAAACCATAGAAGCCCTAAACCATAAAGACCCTAAACTTCCTAAACCCTAAAACCCTAAACCCTAAAACCCTAAGCCATAAAAATCCTAAACCCTGAAACCTTAAACCCTAAAACCCTAAACCCTAAACCCTAAAGCCCTAAAACCCTGAACCCTGAAACCCTAAGCTCTAAACTAGGTACCAGCAGCAGCCCTCCATCTTTGGCGACACGGCTTCAAACTGTGAGGTT